GATTAATAGTCAGAATAATATATGTTCGATTATTGCACTCTGTCGTAACTTTATCTCATGATGCGAGAATGTTGCAGAAGATGCGACATTGCTGAGTCAGTCGTTTGGAATGTAGTTTCAATCGCTAATCACCCTTGAGGAATTCTTCTTAATAAAAGTCACAGACTAGCATAATCGATTACGCATCGGTCGATATTGTATATTATAATAACGCAATAAAATTTGCAATTAACAGTAATTATATTTATTTAAATATTACAATAATTGATGTAAAAAGCTCTAGTGATTGACAAAATCAAATAAATTCAAAGGAGCGTAAAGAGTCATAATGCAGGTTCGTCGTGCGAAGGTTACTTTATATTTACTTAAAATTATTTACATTACAAACGTTTCTGCCTGACATCAGGCCTTCTTCAGTGTCCAAAATTAAAACGAAAGAATTGCTCGCAGTAATTACATAGTTAGTGAGATGTGGAAGAAGTATTTAAATTCCGTTTTCAACCAAAATGTTGTTCAATAAACAATACGAAAGTTCGGATTGTAATAATTGCATGATGACAGTGAACTCAACCACGTGGAAAGAACGAGGTGGAAGAGAGAAACTATTAGTCTTAGCAAGTTAACAGTTGAAATCTTAATGTTCCTTCCACGTGCTTGAGTTCACTGTCATCGTGCAATTATTACATACGAACTTTCGTATTGTTTATTGAACATTTTGGTTGAAAACGGAATTTAAATACTTCTTCCACATCTCATTAACTATGTAATTACTGCGAGCGATTCTTTCGTTTTAATTTTGGACACTGAAGAAGGCCTGATGTCAGGCAGAAACGTTTGTAATGTAAATAATTTTAAATGAATATAAAGTAACCTTCGCACGACGAACCTGCATTGTGGCTCTTTACGCTCCTTTTGAATTTATTAAATATTACACTTTCCAGGCAGATATGATATTGTTTTCTTTAAATTTTTTCTCTTCCTTTTTGTTTTGTCAATCAATGTATAACAATGTTCTTTATCAAAAAACTTAACTTTATGACGTAATACAATACAGAGATAAATTTAAGTTATGAACAAGATAGTATTTTAGTATCGAGAGAATTTAATTTACATTTCATAAAAAAATATAAACTTTCTTTCTACGATTACGAAAAACAGAAACGTTAAATGTACAACACCCGTTGATATTGGATATTATACCCGAATGCGATAAATCATTCGATTAGAGAGTTTAGTTTGCACATCTTAATACTATCATCAGTAAATCATACGCGTAGAGAGCCGTTTTCTTCAACTTTTTACACAATTTAGTACAACGCGAAAAAAAAGATGTAAAAACTCGTTTGGAGTCAAGTAGCACAGTTTATGCTCGTCTTTATGACGTCTCGTATTTATAAGAGTTTTCTCCATTCGAGAGAGACAATCTTTCGACCAAATTTAACTGTCCATCCGTCTGGCCATTTACCGTGATAATCCCAGCCAAGAAAAGTAACAAGCATGTGCAACTGCTCTATGTACAAGAGAAATAATTCCATATTTTATTTTTCGCGAAATGTCTGTGTAACGAAAGTGTTTTCTTGTCGCATCATCTTTGACGATTCTTTCTGCAAGCTGCACACGTATAATAATATTTTCATCTAATTTTACAATATTTTATTTTAAGATACTAATTTATCTATGGTGTTATTATAAATATCACGTGTATCGCACGAGGCAAACACTCCATAAATTACGAATTCATGAAACGTATGTAAGTGAAGAACAACGATTTAATATGGTTGTATATTATAGAAAAAAAAACGAGATTGTGCCGCACATTATTTGTCACGCTAAAATTTTTAAAGTCAACCTTTAACTATTGTTGACAATTAAATTCACAGTCATGTTTCGACTAGGCTAAAATTTAATTCAAATTTAATTTGAGAGATATGACTTATATTTATTTATACTTGCAAAACTACTTTTGATACTAAATAATTGGTAATTATCTACATCTCGGCATTTCTTTTAGATCGTGTGCAGTATCTGAGATTGAGAAAAGAAAACGATTCTATAATATAAATTTTAATTTTTATTCGAATCGTGTGTGCGCGCGCGCGTGCGTGTAAAAGGTATATTTAAATGTTAAACACGAAAAATTTAGTTAACCGTCGGAGAAACTGTTGATGTTCAATAGTCCTTATTAATTGCTCAGGATGGATCTCCATTAACGCGACACTATAGAGACATGCACATGTCCGGGATGTTCGAGATAATGAACTGCCGATAAAGCGACATTGCAGCCGGTTATATGACACGCGATATTCGAATATTTCGGCTATCATTTATATTCTGACTTAAAGATTAAAGAGCACATTTATTTAGGCGCGTGTTGTACGAAATCACAACATTATAATCTTCACAAGCGTTTTTAGCCAAATGAAATTTAATACACGAAATTTAATATATTTTCTAACGTTCTATTTTATATAATTGTACACGCGAAAAAGAAATAATCATTATACTTTTTATTCATCATTTTTATTGTTTATATTAGTTATAAATATATGTATGATAATATAAAATATATATTTTTGATGACATTCATAGGATTATTATTAGTGTCTAGATTTGAGAAAGAGAAAGAAATACTAATAAGAAATATTAATGTTCCTGTAGTAATGCTAAAATAACAAAATTATTAGCTCGGCTGCATTGTTATTACATTTGAATAAAAAAAAAAAAAAAAAAATAAAAAAAAGAGGGGGGGAGTCATACAGTTTATAGCGCTAATTACGTTCTTAATCTAAGCGATAACAATCAGGTAATGTAGCGCCATCGATAATTGTTTATAATTAATTTAGCAATTAGACATTAATGTTACGCTAACTTACAACGCCAACGACAACTATTACGCCCGTTTTGCCGTGAAACTTTGTAGAAAATATTGTCATTAATGGAGTTGTGAATTAAAATTTCAAGTCCTCCATCGGTCAGTTGAAATCGTACAGGATGCTACGAGGATCCGATGTCCTCCGCCGGCGTGCTGCCGGCAATTAGTCAAGATTCCGAATGGAAGAGCCGAGCAATTTCAACCAATTGAGATGACAAACGTCGTTGCGGTCGGATATAGTGTTTCGCGTGTCATAGAACAGCGGCGGGCTGCATACTTAATATTGACCATTTGATATTACAACGAGGTGTTTACCACTCGCGCGCTTTCATTTCGTTAATTCTTCCCGCCTTCAAGTTTCTCGTCTTATAACGAAGATTGCGTTTAAGAACGTTAGACCAGAAATTAAATTGTGATCATTCTTTGTACGATGCTAAACGGATATTTTCTGCCGACTGATATTGATATTTTAAAGACTGATTAAACGTAGATTAAACAAAGAACGAGGAAAAGACTACATTTTGTTAAAATTGAAAATAGATAATGAAAAGATTGTATTTAGTACAGTATAGTACAGTCGAGAATAAATTTTCTGAATTTTAATACATTTGTTTCTAGATTTTTTAACGCTGTACTGACTTATGGTATATGAGCTATTGCTGATACACGAATTTACAAGATACATTTTACGACACGATTGCTACGCGATATTTTGACAATGTCTCACTTGTGCGAATTGATGGTTGAAAAATTTTGCATATTACTGATAATGGTCGATAATCGTTCTCATCGACAGGTAGGCGCACTTATTATCATTCTAATCGATATAGATATATTGACGATCGTGCCAAAAATTATTGTGTCAAGTGAGGAGTCGATAGTAGTACATATCTGGACTTGAGTGACGGATCGCGGTTCGCTATCGAGATAAAGCGGCTCCGGTAGGAAGGCCTCTCTAAAGCAGGCCTGTTTCTGAGGCCGTAAAGACTCGCGATATTTCGTTTCTGGGTGAACTCGGCTGTCTCGAATATACATGCACATGACTAGATCTGTGATTCTCGCAAAGCCATTGAATATTCCGCGCGACCCAGATCGATCGAAAGCATGAGCGACATGTGTTAGCTCAGGTCGTTCTTTAGGTCAAACGCGCTCTTTTGTAATCCTCGAAATCTGTGTTCGCCGGAGACGTGCGCTACTCGGGCGACTCGAATAGCGAAAGCTTGAAAGATGAACGGTCCGGATACGGCTGATATTTTATTATGGTACAAAGACGCTACTTCACTACTAGCTTTGAGTCCGGATCGAGCCGAAAAGTTTCGGGTTGCCGGCAAGCTGACACAGCTCGTTGATTTACGCTTGTTTGCTCGGATCATTTTTACAGCTTTTATTATTATTTTCACTACCTACATATGTGTAATATCCAACATTCGTATAACAATCTTTTTATAATAACATTATAAAGCAACTGTAGCGAATATAATATAAGTAAATGCAGTCGATCAGATCAGATCAGATGAATCAGATTTGTTTTATTTATTTTTGTCACACTAATTAGGATATATCCAAAAATTAATCGCTCAAGGAGAAGTAATTTTCTATTTAACTGTAATCGTATCTTTTCAAGATATGTATTATACATCTATTATTAAATAAATGATACTAAAATTCCTTGATGAAATGGTCGATCACGTGGCAAAAAATATTTCACGATCGCCGTAACGTGTAAAATATTATTAAGTAAATTACAGTTTATATTTCTTTTATGATCTTGGCAGAAAAACTTTATATTAATATAAGATCTATATTATCTGATCTATATTATTATAAATGTGATTGTTTTAATACAAACTATTTAGATTTCACAAATTATAACAATTTATAACAATATGAGAATCAATGACTAAATAAATTCTCGTGAAACACGAATATCTCGAGAATTTGTTCTCTTTTACGGAATGCGGAACTGGTCTCGCGCGCGAGTTTATTCGAGCAGACTTAGATACGAGGCTATACTTGAAGCACACCAGTATTTTTTGGCGCGACGTGCTTTCCGACCAGAACGAATGCGATAGCGCGAAATATTCATGCGGCCTGTTGAATGAGATCAGCTGATAACCGAAGGACTTACCGAAAACTGGAGCAAGGATGGATGACCCAGTGACCTGCGGCTTTTTGTCTGATCCGTTCCTTCATAAGCGCCTTCTTGCTCCCGAAGAGCTTCATGGCCAACTTGTTGTCCGTTGGTTGGAACAGTGCCTGAAGCTGATTCTTCAGGAAGCTCTGCTTGACCTCCTGGCCCGGAAGGCCCGGGCCCGGCTCCTCTTTCGGCGTCCCATAGAGGGACACATCGTCCACTCCAAAGTGGACCTTCCCACTGCCCTTGTAATTCATCTCGTTGCCTACAACAAATATGACGTCGGTTGTGTCAAGTCAGTGTCGCCAATCAATAATAGTACATTCTTTCATTATGCCGCAACATCTTTTCTCATTCAATGGCGTCCGTGAAATCTGGATAAGGTTCGATAAAACCGAGCTGAGTCGAACGACCGTACCGTTTGCACGATTGCCCACTAATCACTTGTAAACTCGCGACACAAGAGTATCGACATGTATGACTTAATGTCGTCGTCCGAAATATCTTTATAGCTTGCAAATTGTAAGCGAATTTGCTTCGTTCTAATTTTGGATGTTTTGAAGATTTTTTGAGCTAAAATCAAAACAATGAATTACCGCTTTAAACATGTTAATTGTTTACAATCTGATAGTTTTGAATAACTACTTTGAGCCTATCAATTTTGCGATCATATTTGTAGGTCGCACGTATATATTTGGGGAAATCTTATCATATCATACCGTGAAACGTCAGAAATCTTTTTACTATTTTTTGTTCAACACACACGCACACGCACGCACAACTTTCGTCTTTGAAAAGAAGAAAACATTTTCTAGAGAGTTATCCATTTTACACATACGTAAATAGCTAATTAGTGAATCGTTTTCCCAGTTTTGCTTGCTATGTAATTCTTTTACCTTAATTAATTGCACTATTATTGGTTTTAAGTTTAACTTTGCAATTATAAAAATTACTTTTACGCGAATGACTAATGTAATATAATATAAATAATTTGTTACGTTTTAAATTTATTAAATTTTTATGTATTACACAACTCGCGCTGTAATTATAATACAATTTTAATTTATAATGTTTTATTGTATCTTTCATATTTTTTATTACTTTTATGTTTTTTTATATGCACTAGTGAAATATTCAATACGACAATCGACAAGAATTGACAAACGCCTAGGTGCATTATCAATAAGTGATTTATCAATGCTCACCAGATTTACACGGTTTACGGACGCTCCACAACGTCCATGTCGAGATAAATTCCTCATACGATCTTCTCCCGACTGACTTTAAATCGTTTCGCGACGAATTGCCGTCTTGTAACAATGGCTGTTCTTGCACCATGAAAACTGATTCTTCCTTTTTAACGTATACCGTCATAACAAGTTCAGGCGAGAATGAGAAGTATCACGTTGACCCGACCAGAAAGGCAGATATCGCGCAAGAGTCTCTCAACTAATGAAACAAGGACGCAAAGAAGCGCGAGAAGAGATGCGTATCCACTGACCGGTTTTAGCCGGACAAACGAGTACATATATCTGTTTTTTTTTTTTTTTTTTTTTACATATATTGGTATAATCTGTGAACGCTAATCTGTGGACACTCCACCGTAATTCTTGATGCTGTTGCAGCAGCGTAAAGTGATCCAGTATTCGCGATTCATTCTTTTTGTTTTTTCTTTTTCTTTTTTTTTAAGCTGATAAAATGTATAGCATATTACGTGCATTGCTATTGATCAAGAGCCGAATATTTGTCGGTATTTGTATTACTTTTATTGAAGAAATTCATATCATCGTGTCAAGTATCATCGTACTCATATTAGGGAATGTTGTGAAAAATAAAATTCTTGCTTTAAATTTATAGTGTTTAGTGTGATTATTTTGTTAATTATTATTATTACATCATTATTGAGAAACTTTACAATTTTTCGTTACCTACATTTCAAGTATAATATAAAGTTCCAAATAATTTAAATTTATATTTTATAATGTGCTCTTGTGACATAGCTATACTTATATATTGTGTTATTTGTCCACTGGAGAATAATTTATATAAAAAAGAATGTATCTTTAGAAAAGTCACAATCTGCTTAATGTTTATATTATATTAATCGGTATATTCAAATGTGATCTGTAGAGCATCTATACTTGTAAAATGTTAAAAATATTAGAAATTTATTTTGTCGTGAGATCTGTATTTTATCTGATTTAATATACCTTCTATTTCTGTGCATTCGTGACGAATGTTATTTATATCACCGCATTCAAATCGGAAAAATAAGATGCAACAAGCTATATTTGTGAGACAAAAGTTTATTATATTTCGCGGCAGATATAATTGTATTTGCATTTGTACATATACTATACAGATGTTAAAAATTCCACATTCTATTTTGCCCGCTGCTAATTTATGAAGGAATTGAATTACACTTTAAATAGTCTCTCTTATCCCGAAGTAATTCCGAGTATGCTAATTATTTCTCACAAAACGTATTATATTGTGCACTTGCGAAGAACAGAAGTTTTTCAATGTGTAGACTCCGTTTCATAGTCGCAACGCAATATCAATTTTCGTGGTAATATATCGTTTGTATCCTTTGTAATTTGTATCATTTCTAGCTCTACATTTTGAATATTTCCATGAAACAATGCGCTTTTTTCCATTAGCTATATCGAACGCATTTCGTCAGCAAGTACGTCATATCGCTTGCTTTCGCGCATTGTACACGATGAACAATACGCTCGTTACACATGTGTACACACGTATGTCACATATCTGATCAATGATTTATGAAGTTTCTCCGCAAAGGCCACAATGTGGCAATCGCATTTGCGTTTGTCCACGAGAAACGGATCTAATTCGACGTTTATTAGTATTTTGATTTGATAACTCGACTCGCGGTGGTCCATTGCGCTGTATAATAATGCCATGTTAATAAGTATTATCAATTGTAAATCATCAAAAAGCTAATGCACATAATTTCATGCCTCTTGTGAGTTGCGAGCTGCCATAATTTAGTGTAGCCACTATTACAAACGCTCTCGATCTTTATAGCAAAGGTAACAACGACTAATTATAAGTGTATTATACATACAAGCAACACAACTCACGATATATAGGTGCGCGATTCATTCTAGTCTTAGAATGATATCGCTTCATTACGACGATATAATTATTAAAGTCGTCATTCTTACTAGTACTGCTCTTTGAGAAAGCCATTTTGATCCCTTATTTGTACACAATATTCGTGCAGCATCGACATTCGTAAATAAAGACGCGTATGATGACGTGATAATATGCTAATCGAATCGGAGAGCATATTTAAATACGAGTTCTCTCAAGACCTCGCAAAATGCAGTGTTAATGGAGGATAGCGCCGTATAAAAGATACAATTTGCGAATTTATCGTTGTAATTAATTAGTTATCTAATTTTGAAATAATTGTGTCATAATGCACATGGAAAATTTACTAAATGGGGAATAATCAATCAATCAGCAAAATTAGATCGCAGATTTTAATTGTGAATAATTGGCACAAGTTTTGCAGATGCAAATTGTTAAGAATATTTAGGTATTATAATATAAATATTTAGCCTTGATGCGTATATTTATAAAACGTATGTATATTTCTCAAGAAAAAAGTACGAGTCACCAACTTCCTTGAAGAAAGTAGATCTCTAATGCCAATCGATGACTTACCTGTGTCGCCTAGGAAATCAGTAATGAGCAGAGTCTCGTCGTCTAGAGCAGTGACGAGGCTGTCTGTGCATGTGTTGGTGTTCTCGATACTGATTTTGATGCTGTCATCTTTGTTGAGCCGTGGATGATTGTTGGTGGGGTTGCTACCGGCGTGGCAGTTGTTGTTGCCGACCTGCTGCTGGTGATGGGGAGAGCGCACGGACTCGGTGCTGCTGGTGTGTAAACTTACGCCCGTTGTCGCTCTTCCGTTCACCAGTCGTAGACTCGGTGCCCGTCGACCACCGCCTCCGCCGCCGGCACCGGTCGCAGAACGGCCGCCACCACCGCCGCCACCCTCGCCCTCCCTGCAACAGATAGTTTGTTAGTCGAGTCTTTTCTTCATTCTTTTCTTTTGCGGACACTTTTGTGTTACATTCTAAGTAGAAGTTGCTTGTAGAATTCGTCAATTCTCATGGAAGTAATGTTGTTTAAAGTAAATTTTTTAAGCCACAAAGCAATAAATGTATTTGAGAAGAGATTTGGCGAGATTCTTTAACGAAAGTGAAACCATTTTTCGGCTGCCGAGACTCAATTGGGCGCTATATTTTTCACAGTTTTCAAAAGAAGAGATTATACGAGCACCACGGAAAGCTTTACTGCGTTGAGTACATCAAAGCCCAAAAATTGGAATTGGAGTAATAACGCGGCACGATATCGTGAGAAGCGATTTTCGCTATTCTCTGTCGCGTGTGTATATAACAATAATAACAATAATAACAATAATAACAATAATAACAATAATAACAATAATAACAATAATAACAATAATAACAATAATAACAATAATAACAATAATAATAATGATATTAATTATTATTATTATTATTATTATTATTATTATTATTATTATTATTATTATTATTATTATTATTATTATTGTTATTATTATTATTATTATTATTATTATTATTATTATTATTATTATGGAAATATTTGCAAGGCGACGTTTTTTGTACGTAGCACGGCGATTCATTATAATAATAGACGCCGTGCTGCAGGCTTCAATATCTATTTCTTAGTAATATTTCATAAGACTGTGTTAAAGGAGAAAAATTTAAGAAATTTAGTTTTGAAAACACCGCCTACACAGATACATAAATTATTTTGTTTTGCAGTTGATTTTAAAAGTTTTTAAATTATTCCTATTTAATTAATTTAAAAGAACATCAGCTTGTTTGCTAAAATGTGTCTATTACCAAACATTCTGTATGTAATAAAATTTTATTATATTCTGGTTTACTCAAGTTGTTATTAAATCAAGATAATACTTTGCTTAATATTTTTACATGAAAAATATAATCTAATATAATCTAAGGAAGATTTCCTACAAAAAAAGTTGTACAATTGTCTGTATAATATACCTAGTGTATACACATACAAAATAGACATTTGGGAGAAAGTTGGGGAGAACATCTAATGGTCTATTCGGTAAATTCGGTCACGCCGATTGCCGCTGACAACTCGTATATCGACAACTCGTTCAACGTGAAATTTGATACTGCGATGCTAGTAATACGTTTTCTCGCCGTGACGTTGAACGCCAATGCGCCACGAATAGATTGCAAAATCTCGGCACTGATGTAAAATGATGCAAAATCGCGAACGGCGATAAATATTTCCTCTTTTATACGCGAGTGCAAAACCACTGCGCATCAATAGCGGATTTTTACCATCAGCACGCCAATGATTACTATTCGTTTCTTTCACGTGCTGCAAATGTCGATAAATTGAAATACCGTGAGTTTAAACGCACATGTATGACACCAACTGCAGCGAAAGTGCAACGTTATCGCTCTTTCGCACGCTTTACACACATGACATAAATCATAATTCATTCACTTCGAGATCAAATTATATTACTGAAATTGTTGGAAACCACAGCTATGTGATGGCAGTGCATACAATTTACATAAAGGCAACTTGGTCGATTCTGATCACGTCCCGCAGCGCGTGCAAAATTATTCGATTATTGAATGGCCATTGATAAACCGATAACCTTCCATTGCTTACTAGAAAATGTTGCATTCTTAGAACGCTAAAACGCTATGATTTCTGGCTATTTGAAATAAGTGTAAAAATTTATCAAAATATTTGATTGTTAGTACCGATAGAGCAATGACTCGTGTTTCTAAAAGCTAAAGTTTATGTCTTTTATATATTTTACATATAAAATTGAGAATATATTTGCTATAAATATACTTATATTGCATGTTTATCTAGGTGTTATCGTTATACATTTCTAATAGTTTGGCATAACCAAGTGAAAATTGTACAATAACGAGATACAAATCATTATAATTTACTAGACCAAATTGGAAAATGTTCACATATGACAATGATTAAAAACGGTTTGCGAAATGAAATTTTATTATCCGTTGACAGTGCAGAGAAAGTCGCATTGGTATATTATTTCTATAGCAATTATAAAGCGTTATTCAGCTCCCGCGGCATTGATTCTATCGAGCACGCACTCGTTTTATTCCCCCAAGCAATAACCGAAAATAATGCAATTTCCGCCACGCTGCGCCGTACCGTACGGTGCATCAATCGCAGCCCGCCCGTCCGTACGCCGCTGCATTCGACGGAAGAAAAACAAATTGTCGGAAATTCTATTGCGTTGATTTAAAGCACGGTCAAGTCTGGCCGCATATTAAATTTGCAAAGCGCGTTCATGATAATTGCGTGTCAACGTGACGGGCAAGTGAAGGCAGCAGCGAGGCATCAAGGAAGGCGTCAGAAAGACATTTAAAAATACCGACATCAGCGATCTTACATCAGCGTTTCACTTTGCGCGTGATTCGCCTTCAAGAGTAACTTGTGAAAGAAACGCGGCAGTAGCAACAGATACGAGACAACGACAAATATTTTGGCAAATTCTCGGGCTCTCGACAAACGAGAGTAAAAGTGTGCAAATAAAGAATCGGATGGGATATGTGTAAGAAGGATGATGTGAAAGATGATAGAAGGAAAAAAACAGGATGCCTAGAACGTATGTGTTGGTTCTAATACAAAAAGGGAAATGGAAGAAATACCGAATAGATCCGGGGGATTGACTCAGGAGGACCAATACAAGTTTATTATTTCCATTAAAACTATATTATTATATAGTTATTTCATATTTATACGTATTTCAGTCTCAATGGTTTTTTACAAAATGATCATACGAGTCGAATGCGAGTCGAATGACACAATTAATCGTACATGCGATTGCATACGAATAAATTACATTTCACACTTTGTCTAACATAAGCGTTCTTCGTTACTCTTGTACATATTTTTAAATCAATATTCTTGTTGAAAATGCTTAGATATCCTCGTTTTGCAAATACCTTTATCATATCATATATTGTTTTTATTTTTAATTTTCTTAAACTTTTGAAAAGTTAGAGAGCAATTACGCACATTTTTATTTAGTGCAAGTAGTTGTTGTGTAGCATCCGTATATATTTTGTATATATTTTGGACAATCTCGATTTAATTATTAATTTAAGATGTCATCAATCGCTTGTTTCAATCGCAACAGATAGGCACTGATTACATGTATGTGTAGCGCTTGTGGTAACAACAGCAACAGATTATAGTCAGGAGGTAGGTAGTACAGATGCGTGCACGTGTCCAACTTTTGTAGAGCTAGTCTCGCCTAGAGAAATCCACGATGCCACGGTATGCATCTCTCGATATACTTATGTATATATGTGTATGTGCTCGAACCAACCTATAGAGTGAGCACTGGAATCTATTTTAAGAAACTTCCCTGCTGGATGTGATGCGATCAACCGCGGTAAAAAGCATCCGAGTCCCGACTCGGTACGCGTCTTTCAAAAATCCGCGACTGTCGATGGGAAAAATATGTCAAGGTTTTTGATATAGCTTTTCCAATTTGGCAAATGGCACGCGGGTCGAGAAAACGATTTGACTCGATCGTCTTTGAATATGGATTATCGACGTATACTTTTGTGTTTATTAGTCATGAATAAGCGGGTTTTGTACGGATCACACTTGGATATCAATTCCTCGTAAAATGTCATCTTTATCAATTTATGGCATTTCTGTAAAATTGCATAGAAATTGTTTTTACTTGTTTTTCTATTCACTTTTGTCACTTTACAATCTTCTCTGTGGCAGTAAATGGGTTATTTCAAATATATATAAAATATTATAATATCAAGACACATTATTTATATTGGAAAGAAGATAAGTAAAGAATTTTTTAATTTATAATAATATAATCAGAGAGAGAGAGAGAGAGAGAGAGAGGAGAGAGAGAGAGAGAGAGAGAGAGAGAGAGAGAGAGAGAGAGAGAGAGAGAGAGAGAGAGAGTAGTAGAGTAGAGTAGTAGTAGTAGTAGTAGTAGTAGTAGTAGTAGTA